ATGTAGGTTATAGCAGAATATTTTTATGTAAATTACACAGCTAAAGTAGGTTACATGACTTTGTCATAAAATCCAGATGAAAATGCTGCTCTGCTGGCTCAGCATTCATCAGCATTGCCAGTGAGCTGTTCAGCGAATGGAGGATGCACATCCTCAGAGGAAAATGGATAAGGAGATTTGTAAGCCTTGGCCAATTAAACACTTCTCCTTTTCTTAAAAATGAAATTGTTTTTCTGTGCCTTTTCTTCTACCTCCCTTCCCCAGCAGATGAAGTCCAGTGGCAGTGCTTGAGGACTGCTTAGCTGGAAATATGCTAAACCAGAGATGGGGCAGACTGTCTACTCCCAGAAGATACCATTAAAGATTAAAGAAAACTCCAAACTTAAATTTCAAACAGCTCTGAGCTCCTTGTAGAGGCTGATACTAATTAAAACATCAAGTTGTCTGGCAGTTATCGTAAGGTAATGACTGCCAACAAAGAACTGCATTAATAGTAATCTTTTATTTTGTCTATAGGCTGTTGCTATGTAATCTGTTTCTGTAATGATTTTAGTTTAGTTTGGACTGTTGAACTAGGAATAACCAAGATGGAAAAGCAATGGAGAGGTCGTTGTCATTCTAAGCTATTCAAAATAATTCCTAGAAAGGCTGGGAAGATAATGAGTGACTGCAATCAGGAAGTGGACACGCTTACTTGAGATTCCCTGCTCTTCTGAGTCATTGATTCATCCATATTTTAATCAGGTCTGGGAAAGAAAGAGAAGAAAGAAAATTTTTATTTTGCAATGGAAAGTTTTATTTTCTGTTTTGTCTGAGTTACCTCCTATTCTTCAGCTTTCTAACTCTGGGTTGGCTGGAACTGCAAAGCTCATTTATTACAAAATCTGAGCTAATCATAGAAGTAGCAAGATTTTTAAAAATAATTTTGGTGTTTCTTCAAGGTTGTTGTTTGAGTTTTGGGCAGATTTTTCCAAATTTCTTGAGAAATCAGGAGGATTAATGATAATTTATTTGTGATAACTATTCATTTGGAATATTTATGGAAAGGTGAACTATAATGAGAATCAGCATCTACTGGGTTGAATATCCAATCTTGGATTTGTATAGGATACTGCTGGGAATATTTCATATGCAGACAAAAACTTGAGATAGCCAAAAGAGAAACAGCCCTTTTATCTCTTTAAGAAGACCATGTCTTCAATGAAGAAAAAAATAGTTTTCTATAGACAGACACTTCCACTCTGTCTGACAGGATAGGTTTAGAATTGGAAATTTTGTTTTCAGCTATGTGAGGAAATATAATTTGGTTTTACTTTAACAGTGGTGAATGAATGTTTTCTTTGAATTTTTGAGTGTCAGACCTCTCATTATCAGAATGTGTTTTTTCCTGAGGTCATTCTAGAGATGGTCATTCACAGAGGAATCAGGTCCCTGGCTTTCTCTTAGGGGTGAGAATGAGCAGGAAGCAAAGCAGTACAGATGCCTGTGTCTTGCTGGTCATCCTGACATCTCTGTGTGTAACAGAAGTGGGCTGTGAAAACAGTCTGTTTTAAAGATCACTAAAAGCCAGATGTCAGGAGGACATTACCATCTAAAATAATGCCTCCCACAGGAAGACAAGCAGTGTAGAAAGAGAAGGTTTTTACACAAATAATCTTTCCGTCTGGGTAAAGGGTCAGAGCTGGTCAGGAACATTTGGACCACCAGCAGAGGAAACTGGCTTCTCAAGAAGCTGTATCACAGTGGGCAGGAAAATGAGTGGCAAGGCTTGCAAACAAGCTGGGCTGGAAGAAAGAACAAGACAGAGAATTTTCCTGCAATCCATCTTTCCTATGATGGTTATTACAAGGGAGCAGATAACTACATTTTCTGTAGTCAGGTTTTTTTATTCTTTGCAGCGCGTGTTTGGGGTCATTCTGCCTGTGTCAGAGAGGTCTAATTGTTTTCTAGTATTTCTGAAAGAATATTTCTTCCAAGAAGATAAATACGATTCTGAAAGGATTTGTGTCAGATGCAGAAGAGATTAGAGGTACTGGAATAGTGGTTAGTGACTACACTTCGTCAGTTATGTATTGCTTCTTAGTGCCTCTTGTCTGGTGAGGGTATATGGAAGGTGGACCTGATGTTGAATTTTTTCAAATCCTACAAGGTTCTTAGCATAGACAGGTTTGGTGTTGCTAGCTTCTGATGAAGTATCTTTAGCTCCTGATGGAGACAACAGGCTAGACCTAGTTTGATCCAAATACCTCATTTGGTCAAAAATATTTAAAGCTTGAATTTCTGGGACCACTATCCACCTTCAGTCCTTTCTGATAAGTGGAACACTGGATGGTTTCTCAGTCATGCCTACTATTTACTTACATGACTGAGGTTCTCTGTAACTTTCAGATCTGCAGCTAGGTAACGATCTCTCTCCTTCCATACACTCCATTCTCAAGTTTAACAACAATTAAATCAGAATTAATAAGGGAAGGGACCGATGAAAACACTGTATTCTTCCCATTGGTCCTCTTGGATTTTTCCACCCCATAAAGAAATAGGTCTTAAAACAAATTAAGCTACCCATGAAAGCAAAGGAAGAGAGTTGATGAAAAACTGCTGCTCATGTGAGAGTTCGATGTTCTGAGGCAGAGTATTTTTATCTTGGACAAGAAACAAATAGGAGCCTTTCTATTGTAGCTTCTGTTGGATGTTGGCTTATGTCAGAGCATTTTTTTATCTTCCTTATTTCCCCTTTGCAATTTTTTCATTTTGAGGTTGCTACTTGCCAAACAAGAAAAGTTACAAGAGATTAAGTCGATCATACTCATTGCTGTGATTTGATGGTTACATTTCCACGTGGGACTTTTTTTTTTTTTTTAATTCCCACACAGATTAATTTCACTTAATCATTTGGTTACCATTGTAAAATATTTTTGGTTATGAATCTTCAATGGGTTGTTCCTGATGTATTTGTTTCATCTCCTTGTTCCTGCTATTTTTGTTGTGTTACTACTCTTTGAACATCGGCAGTAGTTACCTGAAAATTTGTATACTGTCTTGTATCTCCATCCTGAGCTACTTCTGCAGCTAAATGCTGTTCAGAAATGGTTGTTCTTACCATGCTTAAATGCACATAATCCCTGATGTAGAGTTTGTTCTTTGTACTGTGATAGTGTCTGATCAGGATTCAATTTCTGCTCTGTGAAGTCAAGTAAAATAAGAAGGATGACAAATAGGTAGAACAGCAAAACTGTTTGCCCTAAAGCCCTTGCAAAGGCAAGTCTTTTTCAGTTAGTGACAAAGTGTGGAGCCACAGCTCTAATAAAATTTAATAAAAGCAGAAAAAGGCCAAACCCCTCAGGCTGTCCCCCTTGTGTACCAGCCCAAGTAAAATAAAAGTAGTAACAAAGTCTTTCTTACCCTAGGTTTTTTCTTGCCTAACTGTATTTCTTAAAAAGTAAAAATAAAATTAAAGCATTTTTTAGGCAGGCAAAATCTGTACAGAAGAGGATTCCTGAATTTCAGAGTAGCATGTATGTGAACCCAACACTGTCAAGGCCAAACATCATGGGTTCTGAAATTCTGTTTCAGGCAAAGGCATTGTTCAAGTATAGTCTTTGAATTCATGCTTCTAGGTGATACTGTGTCTTCTCTTGAACTTTACTTTAGATCAGATGTATTTTTTGCCTAAATTAAGATGGCAGTATTTTGCTTACTTCAAAAGAATGTTACATGAATAGATGCCTTAGCAGTACAAGTTTTTGAATATGAGGATCATGAAGTCATGTAAGAGTTTGACAGATAACTATCTATGAAACAGGTTTCTTGTGAAGAATTAAAGATCTGCTTTTGCTCTTCATTTTTGTGTAAACATCATGCACTGAGATGTGGCTTAGCTTGCAGAAGTGATCTGTGTTTTGTTATGACTACAAGTGGCCACATCTTTGTCCTCCTCAGAACATTGTGTACCCCTTCCCACAAAGTGCCACTGCTTTCCAGAGAAGCTGTGCCTCTTCCCAGTGAAAGCTGGCTCCAGAATCCAGAGAGTTTAGGTTTCAGTATGTTGTGGGGATTTTTTCACGTAATGAAGTGGCTATTTGCCCTCGCATTGAAATCATATCTTACTGAGTCTGTGAAAAGCAGCAATTTGCTCAAAGAGGAACATCTTCAGTCACAAGGCAGAAAGTGAATTAACAGCAGGACTTGCATAGTCAGCATGAACTGCTGAGAACTTACTCTTGTTTAATTAATATTAATTTACTATTTATAAAGTGATAACAAGATTCTTGTGGCTTTTGTTATGTCTGTTTTTAATTTTAAAGGCATTTTAATCAGTTTGCTGCATGACAATATTTGTCAACACCAGGTAAATAGGGCCTCTAATATGACCTACCCTGTTGACACTAGTTAATAGGCTAGACTGGGAAATAATATGCAAACTCGTTTCTCTTCTCTTATCAGAAAGAGATCAGTTCCCAGAGTGACATAGATATTGTTGGTTTAGTTGATACCTTTAACCATGACATCATTTAAACCCCTGGGCAACATGTACACCCTTGGGACTGTATTGCTCCTAAAGGGAACCACTTGAGCAGAAAGTCTGATACCTTCTCTACTTTGAATTTCCTTGTGCTTGGGGAAGCAAAGCTGATGGGTTCAATCAAGAATCCCGTATTTTTACTGGATTACACTCAGAAGCACTGAAGTGACTTTTTTTTTTTTCTCGTGGCCTTTTATTTTTTTCCTTACCTTTATCTGTTCCTCCCCCTTCCTTTCACTTGACACCTGTCCCTACCTTTGGAGAATGAGATAAGCAGAGAGCTCCAGCCCTCTTAAGAGACGAGGAGCAGAATATGCTTGCACAAAGAGAGCCAGGGCAACAACCAAGCCTCTCCTGGACAGGCAGGTGTGGGGGAGCTCCTTTGCTGCAGGTTGCTTTCTGGAGTGCTGTCAGTGGGGTTTTGTCACTGTTGTGATTATAATTGGAAACAGGTTTATCTCCTTTTTTTTTTGGAGTCATGCTGCAGCAAATTTTACGTGATATGTATATTGACCCTGAGCTCCTGGCAGAGCTGAATGAAGAGCAAAAGCAGATCTTGTTCTACAAAATGAGAGAGGAGCAGCTGAGACGCTGGAAGGAGAGGGAAGAAAAAGCACGAATGGAGGAGGCTGTGCTGAGAGAGACAGCGAGGTGCAAACAGAGTAAGATTTGTGACCTCCTTCTATATTTGAGATCTGGGGCTGGTGGGCATGCGACTGGCTATGGTGCAGCATCTGGAAGAGATGACAAGGAAGGGTGTTGGCTGTCCCCATAGGTAAAAAGCTGGTCTGGGACAACAAAAACACTGTTTTCCTGCTCCTTGTCTCTCTCAAGGCTGGTTCTTTCTCCAGGGACAGGATCAATAGTTTAGTGTGGGAGTAAGGGGAATAATTTTGAGGTGCCTCTTTCAGTCAGGAGTCAATCTCAGTGGTAATAAGTGTACCATGACCAAGTTTCCTCTTCACTTCTCGGGCTTTTTCTTTACCTACCATTCCCAGCCCTGCACCTGTCAGGCAAAAGGCAGTCTTGCCTGTACTGCTGAAGTTTCTTAACTTGGCATTAAATATTTCCAAGTAGCTGGAATAGGAGATAAATTTACTAATTTGAGCTTGTTATGAAGAGCTGTTGGTGAATAAGATCTGATATCAGAACAGCCATACCTCATGAGACTCCTTTAGTGTTTCCTAAGATTTAAGATTTAAGTCTAAGGAATAGGGTAATATTGGTGTAAGCATGAAAAAGAAACAAACAAGACCCACCCTAAACAACAAGCAAACCATAAAGACAGAAATGTGTTTTCATGCAATATTTACGTAAACTATGGAGCTCTTTCTACAGGCTGGATGCTAACTGAGTGTATTGACTTAAAAAGCAAATAAGCAAAATAATGGAAGAAAATGTCAGACCCTCCAAATATAATTTCCAAGTATCTGATCTTGGGTGCAAGTGGTTTGGAATAGACAGAAATACTTATTTACTTACTCTCTTC